GCTCTTGCATTCTAACGAATGTATAGTTACAAATACTAAGGTTCAATAGATCACGTCAAGGGGTTTGGTGGCCGGGGACGAAAGGTAATTTTTCGTTTGTTGACTTTATGAGCTTCCATTGACCATACTAATAAAAACAGTTGGTAAGCAACACTTTCTCGGCGAAACGTTTTGCCCCTTTGCGGACAGCAGTGATCGGTGAGTCTGTTTGGTGCTCTAGTGTTGACATCGACACGAAATCCGTTGAAGTATACAACGCTCGACTGGTAGTATTTTAGCATACCCTGCAGGTGCATAGAGTATCCACAACATGTGAAGAAAATATTTCTAATTGATTTATATAACTATTATACCGGTCTTGGCTCAGTGTAAATAACACTGGCCCGCGGTACAGTTGTATCTATTCGAAAAAAAAAATACTCCCGTTTTTATACTAGTTGGATTTCTTCAAGTGTTCGCCTGCTTATCTATCGGTGTTTAGTTAAGCTGATTAGCTAACTGACATTTGTGGTGGACGATATTCTATCGGTGCGGAATAATGCAACAAAGGTCTTTTCTTACCGCTTCGTATTTTTCCTGGCAAGTGACAGCACAGAATTACGTTTCGTTAGCTGGTGGCAATGGTCGATTGTTTCTGTATTGTGCCTTGAGGAACCGATCGAACAACAGATCCTGTCGAATGGGAACTAGACCAAACTGATAATATTTCAAAAGGATTTATTTACAATTATTTGGGATAGTTCCGGGTGCTGACAGTGCGGCTCGGCCGAACGCGGATTGCTGCTTTGCCACTAGAGAGATCGCGGGTCGCTGCTACAATTTGTTTGTATAACGTAGTTTTTTTTTTATTGAGTTCTACCAACTACGCAGCTTGCAATGTGTTGCTAACACGAATCTCATTGCAGTGGCAACATTTTTCTCTCTTTTTGTGGTACGCTGCTTTCTGGGCGTCACGAGGTGTGTGCTTACCTAGGTAAACTTATCAGTTTACCAGGCTGGCGATTCGTCCGATAGATCGATTGAAATCGGTTCATACTGGAAAGGGCCAGCCGTTTAGATAATAGTTTAGATAGATAGATAGATATTATTTATTCTGCGAACTTTCGCAAGACTGTCTGTTCGTTCACTTTTTCTCTTTCCATACATCTATTACACGTTGAATCATCTCATCTTTGAAATTCCGTCATATCCGTCTACGCCTACAGCTTGTGTCCTTAATTGTAGAAGTTTTTATAAAATTTCTAATTCGACCGAATTAATTAGAGTTAAGCGAACTCGAATTTTTATGTTGAACTTTTACGCCTATGAATGATGTATGGCCAGCCAATGATGTCAAGCTTGTTATGCGGGAATATGGTCTGTAGTCTAGTTCCCACTAGGGTAGGGTAAAATATGGTTGATGACCTGACTGGTCCGCGTACGTAATGTCAGGAAGACTTCAGCAGCTCTTTTGCTGTCAAGTCCATGGTTTATTCGAAGATCATGTTCGAATTTAGGCGCGTTTAATCTAATGGCGCTGTGGGTTGGTCACAAACTTTTGAAAAATAACGCGGGATGGGAACGGTCTAATTTTCTAGTGGCAGTGCTGAAGCTCAGCGCAGCAATCGAAGCCCCACTTGTTACGCTCGTTGTTCCGTCACTTCAGCCGTTCTCCTTGTACGCTGGATTAACAGTCGTAGTCAAGAGCCGAAGCAACATGCGCTATATGTCGAGTGCTAATATTAAAAGCTAGAAAAAAGAACGCCATGTTTGATGCCAGTGATTTTTGAAACGCGATTGGAGAGGTCAAGCTGCTCGTTCTACTATGTTAGTGAATCGTTGACATGACTGAATAGCTTGTCAAGTATGTGTTCATTATTCTACGCATGTTTACACTACGTGTAAATAATAGCGCATAGGCAGAGCTAGTCCGGTTGACCAACTGAATTTGAATATCTTGCCACAGGCCACATATAATGATGGCGATGTAGCATGTCATCGGTCTCGGTACCGGCAGAAACCATTGACAGCTCCGAGGCCTTGATACCTATCTGCTAAATACTACGTATATCTAACCTAACACGACTCAGAATTTTACAGTTCGGGGATCGTTCAACTATCCTCACCTTCACTCAAGCCATTTATAGCCACATGATATTATTGTTGCCTGCATCGTAGTATTTTATCGCTATTTTAGTCGCCAATTTATAACGCGTATGCCCTTCCGAACGCATATGAAAGGCAGACTCAAACTGCGAACACTCTTATATTACACTTCTGTTTTTTCTACAAGTCCAATTCAAATATTGCCTCCAGTTGCCAAGCTTCTTGTGGGGAGTTCGTTGCCGGCAAAACACTACTGTCTGGAGATGTCAAACGGCACGCTGTCATCCAACGGGGACAGACGGGACGTAGAAACTCTAAATAAGTGAGGCCACCGAGTCTTCGCTGTCAACTGTACGTGAACGGTGGTTTATGCAAGCGTTCGTTTCAGTGTGTGTTTATCCTCTGTACAGTTTGTAATGCGTGTGCGTTTGTGTCCGTGAACCTGTATGAGCGCTTGATATGTGGGTAACAGGTAACGTTCGCAGTCGTGATTGGCAAATGGGCAGTCGTCCAAGGTGACTACAGAGTTGTGTGGCGTGCGTGTTCTCGTCGTTGCCCTCTCGCCTTTTTTCTCTCATTCCATCCTCTCCTAAACGCTCTGTGGGTATCGTTTGCGTTGGCTTGACTAGGACTGTCCCTGAGACGGCAGGCAGGAACGATAGAGATGCAATCGTAAAACAGGCCATCTAACTGTACACGCTAACCGCGGCGGCAGCGTTCTCGGTGTGACAAACAGACACTGAGACGGCTGCCAAACAGATAGACTATAGTAGCAGCAGCAACGGCAGCTTCAACATCAGCAACGAGAGTTTCCACGATGGCTACAGACACGGAACGCGTTCCCAGCGCGAGCTAATAGTGGTCAATAGGCTCCCTCCGTGTCTCGGTCTTTTTCTGTATGCCTCGAGGAGAGCAGGAGAGACGCATCGGACGCCTGGCTGCCACATTAGGGCGCAAATAACGGTAAATAGACCGTATCCGCACGGACGCTGCCGGCGACAACGATAAAAGTGACCCCAATTATAGATCGACTGATAGATCAGCGAGGGTAGGGCGATAGAAACAATGATATGAGTAGAGCCCACAAGGCAACGCTGGCGGGCACAGCAAGTCGAGCTGGCGGGCACAGCAAGTCGAGCTGGCGGCAGATAGCGTATATGAGCTGTAACCGCGAGAATGAAGTAAACTTGAACCTGAAGGGAGAAAAGGGGTCGACGACTAGTAGAAGGGGAAGCGAAACGTTCCAGCAGAATAATTCCAACCCCACTTTAGCTGCATCTCAGGCAGATGTGCTCGCATGCCTCTCTGGAAAGACATCGTAGTGCCAGGCAACGGTGGCGTCAGTAGTGACATTGATAGGATGATCTGTTTGGCCTGTGTGTTACCATTAGGACGCACCGGCTGAACAGAGCTGCACAGGATTGAATTGGAGGTGATCCGCAAATACGTAGGACAAAAGTTAACAACGAGACTGACTATAATAGTCACCACAGCAGCGGCGGCAGTAGCAACAACAACAATAACTACACACCGGACTAAACAACCTTAACTTTTCGCGAAGACACAGAGAGATACAGGCCGCGTTTACACATTGATGAAGCCGTCATTGCGTGCTATTGCATTAAGTTAGTTGTAACAGTTGATCTAGTAATGATATAGTGTAGCAATGGCGGTACGGGCTTTCGAGTGATCGCAGCCGGAATTGCGCAACAATTGAGAGCCCATTAGAGGGTAGGACAAAGGAAAATTGTGCAGTGGTCGCAACGGCAGCAGTAGCAAACCGTCGTCGGCCCCTAGCTAAGCAGCCGATGAGAAGAACGATCGGAATTGGCTCATCTGCTGACGAGGTTAGACGATGCAAAGCAAAAAGCTAGGCAACACCCTATGGTAAAGGGCGGAAGAGCGGCCAGTGGATGTAGGAACAACAGGAGCAACAGCGTTAATATCAGCGGAAGCGGCGGTTCGGGTTTGACTGCCGCTGTCGCGGACTGACGCCACGCTGGTCACAATGCTGATGGACGGCATGCGTTCAATAGCTAGCCAACTATAGAGAATGAATGGGCATATAGAGACGGACGGCTACAGCGGCGGTAGTGGCAGTAGTAATCTACGACAGAGAGCGAACGCTATGGAGTCGTAGTAGCAGCAGCAGCAGCAGCAACGACATCGGAATCGGCAATGGCGGCGGCAGCCATGACAGCATCATTGGAAAAGATATGTGGGGATGTTAAAGAGCCCGATAACTGATTAGCGACATTGTCACACCGTTATATTCGCGCAGATACAGCGCCCCCGAGCACAGAAAGATAGAGACCACAACAACAGCGGTAGTAGTGCTGACTCTTATGAGAGGTGACAGTTACGCTGATCACGTTGATCATGATGACGATAACCGCCAGACGACAAAAAGGATAATAGCAATTAGCTGCCGCTGCTGCTGCAACCCAGTGGGGCGTTTGTATGCCGCCAAATAGACAACTTGGGGTCACAGTCGAGTGCTATGAACAAAAATCACAGAGTTACAAAGACATATACAAGGAAAATTGCAGAGATTGTCCTACTGTAGCAAAGCAGCGCCTCGCTGAGCACAGATAATTCTAGAGGTTTTTTGGAAAGCCTCCAATGAGAATAACTATCTACCTAAATTAGCCTGGCTATTTACAAGAGAGACGGCTGTATGAGGGGCAGGATGGGACGCGATCAACGAAAGAAATAACACAATGCACGAAATCTTGAGTCAAATTCGTTGTTTAGTAGTACCTGTGGCTTTTGGTTAGTTATCACGGTGGTGCGTATATAATATTCACGCCGTGATTTTCGTACCTGCGTCGCATCATTCATCATCCTATTAATACCGATGCAACAGTGTCAGTTCGTTAGTTTCTGGTCTAACTCCTGTTCGTGTTTGTTTGCAGAAGCTGAGCATGGCTATGCCGTGTCAGTCGCGTCGAGCGGCGTACGAGCGGGTGCAGATCGAGGCGGCGGTGGCATTGCTGGCGGCGGCGGGCTCGTGACTCTGTGCGCGCCTTCCTCCGTTGCGACCACCACAGGCACGCCGGTTTCTTCCGTGGTGACTCACACCCACTCAAGCCACCCTGGCTCTCACGCACCGATTGCCAGCGTTGCCGTCGTATCTGGACGCGCTTTATCCCCGGTGAGCCATAGCGGCCACCCCGGCTCCCTTGAGCTAGGAAGTCCTGTTGCCGCCCTGTCCGTCTTGCCAATCAAGAACCACACGGAATCTGTTCAAGCTGTTCCGCACCGCGTCAGCAGAAGGGCACGAGCTAAGAAGCCTCTTGGAAACAGGTAAATATGTCGATATGTCTAAAAACTCATATATGAGCTATTTTCCAAGTAAGGAGAAAACGGCTGTGTTTGACTTATCACCGATCGAAAGCTGATAAAATATAAAGATAGAAACAGACAAAAGAGCAAAACAATGGCAATAATAATTCTGATTACTTAGAGAGAGTCAAATGAATCGGAACGTTTGCCTCTGAGTTTGTTTCAGCGACGACATTAGCTTCAGTATTGTTAGGCTGCCGTCAGTTTTTCTTTTGCTCTTATAGATATGACAGCGAATCTGACGCTGGCTTATCTATGAGACCAACAACAGTTTTACCGGGCCGGGATCAACTGTGAAGACTCAAGGGAAACCTTTGAGAAGTGAGACAGAACAAGGAAAATACGATAAAGTTACATTCTAATCGTTTAGACAGAAGCGTAATTTAATTCAACTTACCACCATTGCGTTTCCCGATGGAGACTCGGAGGGAAGGGGAGATAAGGAAAGGCTTTCGGTCGAATGGGTGAATGCCACTGACCTGCCTGATTTGAACTCGCTTTGATCAAGCGAATGAAGCAGAACATAAAATAGGTTTACAGATAGGTTCGAGCTGTTGAATAGATCGGCGCACGTCAATTCTGCTCCATCCAGGCAACGGTACGCGAAACTCGACAAACTTAACAATGACAACGATGACTTGTCTGCGTTTTGTTAGCGTTCAACACGCAACGAGCACAAACAAAGCGTTGCGCGTGCCCCCTTTGGATGTTTTAGGGGGAACAGAACGCTTTAAAGTGGTATTCATATGGAACGATGCTACTGCATTGGTTACAAATCCGCCGCCCTTGACGTCGTTATCGTTGTTAGCTCCAGCACGAAATAAAGCAAACTACTGATGTTCAGCCTGCGTGCGCGATCCATAACATGGCAACAACTGTATCCCGCATTTGTCAGCCATTTTGATTCCTAGTCGTCTGTTCCGCCTTGGCAACTATAGACATCAATTAACAATGCCGTCTTAGTTAACAGCTGCAGCAGTCCCAAAGCTGACATTTTTTGAAACTCTCTCGTACGTGTGCCTGACTGTTTCGAACCGCAACAGTAATTCTAATAGTAGCAGCAGCGGCAATATCGCCGCCATCTTTTGCTCCTCGGAACTATTCATTAGTCACTTGTATCATTGGTAGCAACGTTTGCTCTTATCATGAGGATAATTACTTTATTATAATTTTCTTATTAAGCTGCTGCCGGTTCTGCGAGTCTTATCGTACATTCATACTCGACACATACCTACGCGCGTGTAGGTGAGCGTCTATATATAAATGAAGATAAAAGCAAAACAGACATTAACCTGCGGCCGAGCTCGTGTTAGCTAGTTATAAAGGGCTACTCATAAGCAAGCAGCATTTTCGCATCCAACCTCGTTGCCGCTGTCCTTAAGAGGCCCTATCTCCTAGCCTAAGTCTCTTACATATGATATTATCTATTTACTGTAGCTTAGCAGCGCTATTGGATGCACATTTCCAGTCTATGAAGAATCGACTTATTGAACTGTCGTCACGCGTACGCGTAGCAACACGTTGAAAAATGGGAATCGTGCCTTAATCCAGTGTCGAGAGATTCGTGCTGGTGGAGGAGCTGCGAGAGCAGCAACCACGTGCTTCCCTTAGTTGCCTCTAATCGAAATGAAGTCGTATGCTCATTTCCTTTATGGTTACATGGCAGCCACACCAGACTTAGTTATTTTTAGAACCGACAGCTTAGAAACGGCCGATCGAACGCTGTCTGGGCATTTTAATGTGGATTCGTGGCATCCAGCCGCTTGTTAATTATTTGTTTCGTTCACGGAAAGAAAGACATATTGTATTTGGTAAGAATCGACATCGACAACGACGGACGAAGCAAACAAGACAAACGTAATCTGTCCGTCTCTCCGTTCCTCTTTCAGCCGGCTGGTAGCTACGCAGTCGCCTTTGTTGCTGACGTAACCGCTGTTGTCGACGTCACCCGCATACACGCTCAATCGTCCGCTAGGATATACAATACCTTTTCATTAGATATGGCTGCGTGTGGTTACGAACTGCACGAGCCAGCAGTGCCGGCGGTTCTTTGAGGCGTATTGAACACGGGCAGGTTTTCAGGCTCCTGTTGATCTCGGCATCGTTGATATCAGTGACAGCGATTTGATGGGTTCACCAGAAACTGACGAGTATAAGCAGAGTTTCAGCAAACTCATAGAGATATGTTAGGCCACGAGATGGCCAAGGGTGTCTGATAAACGGCTGGTGGCCACTCGACTCCTCCTGGCGATCGAAAGCCGCATCTGATGCTCTTCACGGTGACACCTCCATTGCAAATGATTGGCCATTGAGTCCGCGTGTAAATCATGGCTAAACGGCATCGTCCCGTTAAGCTCAATTAATGTCTAACAAAGGCAATAATTCATTTCTGGTCTGACCATTTGATCTTTGCGCATTCCCTGAGTATTCAAGTCATGATCGTAGCTATTAGAAACCTGGGACACATAATATCTAGGCAAAATAACATAGTAATGTATACGGCGTTGCTGCTGGCTGTGTACGCGAACTCTACCCCCCGGAGCTCACCGTTTAGGTTTGTTAGACCACGCTGCTTTAGCTTGGCTGCGGTAGCGTTGTTTCGTCAATCCTGCTGAAGCTTTCGACATTCGTTGCCGGCTGTTCATGGCTATTGGCGTTGTTGTTCATTCTCGATTGGCCCCATTGTGTCGCTGCTGCTTTTTGGCTCGTGGTACAAGGAACAGGGAACAAACAGCCGTGGAAAAAGAAAACGAGTGGAGGCCGAGATGAGGCTGTCTCCATCTGTGTTTTGTCCTGTTTGTTGCATTGCTTTGTATTGTCCCAGGTCGGCTAGCAGCAGCGACCGGAGTAGCGGCGACAGCAATGCGCTGTTTTTCTTGTTATTTTGTAAAGAAATGTTTGCTTTTATCAATAAAAATAGGAAGGAAGGAAGGAAGGAAGGAAGAAAAACTAAAAAAGACAAGCCTTTTGCTAGTGCTGCCGCTGTGCGAACAAGAAGATCTTTGAACAATATAGCAGTAGAGGACGTCGGACGGAGATGGTCGCCGAACCGAGCTGGGTCCAGCTAAACTGAGTCGGATGACCCAGGCGACGGAGGGTAGTAAGATCCGTTGAAGTGATGTCAGGGTCTGCGTTCATTACTTTTGTAGCTTTTCTTAGCGTATCATTGACCTAAGATGTCATGCACTGCGTAGCGCATCTTTCAAACGTCAGCGATGTTGTTGCGGTGGCAGGACAAATTTCCAAGAGGATCATACAGCGGTCGTGCAGAAAACGGTGTAGGCACGATGAATCGATGCTATTGCTATTACTGCAAAAAATATGGACGGCATGTATTTTCCAGAGAGGATGCATATCGCCTTTGTTGTAGGCAATCCTTGCTGTTACTATCGACCCTTATTTTTCACCTAACGCTAAAAACCTCCACTGATGACCTTAAAGTCATCTGTGAATAACCTGCCCCGCCATCCCGTGTCAAACTGGAACATGCTGTAAACGGTATCGCTCGATTCTTCTTAGACAGTGGCAAGACGCTGTCGACGCGCACCTGTAAAGTCACTACACAAGGCTCGATGCGACATGGCCGTGATACTAACGGCCATGTGACCATTTCGACCACGCAGGATCTAGTCTATTTAAGTGTCGGCTAGTCATGATTTTAGTGGGAATACTGTTTAATTAGCTGAATCTTGTTCATAAACGTTCGCGTAAACGTTGCTTTTTGATACTTCACTATTATTACTAGACGTTAGATTTGAAGGTTACATCATTAAAGATTACGTCATCGAAGTTTTGTTCCAGTTACTAAGAGTAGACAGGGCCACTGTTGTTAATAACTGCAGAAGCAGCTGCAATATTGTATTTTTTGCATAGAAATGAATTAACCGACAATAGCTATGCCTAACGTTCGCTGACGATATATGCTGGTATTTCGTTTTCCCTGTGTTCAATAAAGATGTCTTCAATTGAAAGTGCAATTAACAACAGTCTCGGGAAAGGTTCCCCTAGCCTCAGAGCCGCTTATTCATACAGCCTTTTGTCATTGATCTTGGCCAATTTTCAGCCTTAGACAGACAGTGCAGTAGGTCGTAACCGTCCCTTTGACAACGCTCATGGACATACAGAGCTGTACAGAGTACCGTGCTGTCCGTTTCTATACCGAGAGACTCTTCTAGGCGCGAATTGCGTGACAGCCTTTGCCTGCTAGTATAATCTGGCCGGATGATGACAGGCTACTTTTTTATTGTTTCTGATGCCATTTAAATTCAAATTATCGCTCTTCATTTAAACGCCTGTGAACTCTTTTGGTGCTGACACGTCGTTCTCCTCCTAATCAGTATAGACTAATGGGTTATTTATCGTTGCCCTACGAAAAGTCGGCGGGTTTGATATGACAGGCCCGCTGAGTCCGAGCCAATATATGAGTGGAGCAGTCAAGCACCGAACGAGTTATAACCGCCGAAGGACAACTGCAAACAAAGCGATAAAGCTTAACGATATTGTGGACATTATGTACAGTTCAGGCTTGTTGAAAATCCTCTACAAAGCACCAGATGTCGCCACTGACCGCATGCTTCTCGATAGAGTAGTAAGGAGATAGAATGTAGAAGCATAGTAAGGGAAACTATGACCATCTACAATTCTACGTGTATATAATGGAAAAACTTTATTCCTATAGGCTCGGCTGATCGGCCATTGCTATGCATGCGGTAGCATAGCAGGTACCACTAATGTATGCATATATTATAATGGAGATCTCTTACGTATTTGCACTTACCTACCCGCCGTACGGAGCATTTTTTTCCAATATCGAGTTCGCGAATCACCATACGCAACGCGTTTAGATAAATTCGTCCTGTGTTGAGGCGCCAGCTGTAATCTGTTTAATCCGCTTAAATATGGCGGCGGCAATAGAGCGCCAATGGCTGCGCTATACTCATTCGATTCGGTATCAGATACGA